GTTGTTGTTGCAGTTTGACCAGGGCTGGGTTTGAACCTGCCACCCTCGGTATATGGGGCCGGGCCCTACTCACTGAGCCACAGGCGCCACCCAATCGTGGTAGCTTTTCTCCTTAGCATTTCCTCAATCAAAGAATACTTGAGGTACACCTACCATCCAGTAGAGATCCACAGCTATTTTTTTCCTTTTGGTTTTTTTTTAAACAGTAGAAGGTAAGAAAAGCGCCAAACCCAAACCCAATATTAGCTACTTGAAAAAAGTTTAAGGTCCAGAACTGGATAGGAACCCCTGCCAAGTGGTCTGCTTCAGCAGCTTATAATGGCAACTTTCCATTTTTAAATTGGTCATCAAAGGCACTAAAAGGTTGTTAATTTGATTCAACTTGTGTGCCCCTTGAGTTTCACATTGCGCTCCCGCCTCCATCCAATCTGGCTTGCTGGCCCTGCTTGTGGGGACTGCTTGGTGTCGGGAAAAGCTGATGGTGGTGCATGGAAAGATGGCCCCTCATGGAGCTACGGACACACGTGATCACGGGCATGATGCGGAACAGTTAAGCTCTGTACCTTCCTCTCGCCACAGGATGTTTGCAACTGCAGCCGTAGAGAATCAGATCAGGAATGTTCAAGATTGAGGGAAGGAAAAAAGAAGAAATCAATGTCAAACCTTCATGGTAGTGATTCCATTTATGGAGACACTGGGACCTGGTCCATCACCTATAGACTCTGCAACACTCATTGTCTCAGCAATAGTACCTGGGGGGACTCTAGGGCTGAGTGTATACTTTGGGTCTTAGGGCCCTTTCATTTCTACATGAGTGTCTGCAATCAGGCCCCAGGATCACTAATGGCCTGAGAAACCTCAGGGAAGTGAGTGGGATCCTCCACATTCTGTATTGATAAAGCGTGAGCAACGTCTCTCTCTGATTTCCTGGTTTACTTCAGGAGAATTAATTTTTAGCTAGGATTTTCCTAGGAAGATCATATAAAATACTTCTGGTTATCTCTTCTAATGACAAAGACTTAGCTTAGAGGCTGTAACCATGATCAACTCCCATGTCCACAAAGTCACACCACAGGCCTACTTGGGGAGCAGTGGCAATACGGGAGAGCACACTTAGCACACCAGATGGGTTTTGACTCCTGGAGTAAAGGCCACTGCATCCCCAACAGGTGCAGGAGTGCACAGGCCAGTGTCTGGGCTGCTGCGGGAGGGCAGGACCTGGTGGGCGGGTGGCATGAGGGGTTTTGTGGCTGAGGGGCAGAGGTTCTGGTTATACAACAAGTACGAGGCAGAACTGGGGTAGAGATATTTGAGCTTCCTTGTGTTCCTGGGCTTTGCCTGCTGTCCAAAGTTTCCCTGTCTATGTTTGCAACACTGTCTAGGTTGTCAGGGAAGGGTACTCACTGATCCCTGCTTTATGCATAGAGGGGTATGCGTTTACCCTCTCTTCAGGGGCTCACACTTGGTAGCTGTGGGCCTGGTCAACAATCAGTGTCCTCTCTCTCTTGCCCCCCAACAGCCAAACCAGCTCAGTGAGAACCTTAAAGGCAAGAGCCAACTCACGGGTCTTTCTGGCTGAGTCTTCAATGAAGAGTGAGGAGATATCTTCATCCACACCCACTTCATTTTTGGCAATGCAGGTGTATGCCCCTGTGTCTTCGTACCGAACGCTGCCGATGTGGAGTTCGCTCCCATTGGCTGCAGAAAGAACAGTGCTTGGGGTGGCTTGCTCAGTCAGAGACCCCTCCTCACTTCCCCATTTCCTTCATGGGGCAATTGAGAGTGTTGGGGTTAACAACACAGCTCCCAGGAAGCCAACATTCCTGATAATGCATCCAGGAAGTGCTGGCACAGCTGAAATAAACTAAGGGTAAAGTGGGGTGTGATGACATCTTGTCATTGCTCTCAGAAAGCCACAACATCTGTATGAGCCCAGATATTAAGAAAATTTGGGGAAACGTGTTCACTGCTAACCTGGCTGACTTAGAAACAAGTCACATCCTCATCTCCATTCCTGGAGCATCACCTTGGTTTGGCTGGTAATATCACGTAGACACAAAGGGCAATTCTTACCTATAAGGGAGAGCTGTTTAGACATCTGGGCTGAGACATCCATGCCATTTTTCAGCCATGTAATTCTGGGCACAGGAATGCCCTCTGCATGGCACCTCAGGCTGGCGGCCACTCCGGGCTCCTGTGCTTGGGTCTCTGGGTAGACGCGGATGACTGGTGGCACTGTGGGTGAGAGTCAGTACTGGTAAGAGGGGAGTCCATCTTGGGCTCAGGCCTCTGGCTCAGCCCAAAGACCCTGCTCCAGAGGGGTGAATGTGAGAGGTGACCCTGGAGTTCTCTTAACTTGCTTATATTAATCCTGTTCAGCAACTCGAGCTCTAAAAGAAAAGGCTATAAAATGGATTGCAGGCAATAAACATGTCAGGCTTCGTACCCTGTAATTCATAGTTTTCATCATCATTCTAAATATGATCAGAAAGACATCCAAATATTTAATGCTGTTCAGCTGCTACATGTAAAGAGAAACCACCACTGAAATTTACTTCTGAATGAATAAAATTTAGATATATTATATCTGTTATCGGAAAGCAATTGGACATTGGCTTAATTTCTTGCAGGAAATGCTTCACAAAGCACTTATGGGCACTGACTGGCAGGGGTCCTGCTCTGGGGAAGTCCATTGATTTTTCAGTGGTCATTTTTATTTTCCACTTCCTACTCCCTGAAACATGGGTAAAAGGCCAGGAAAGGCCTCCTTGCCTCCAGAGAGAATCAGCCATGGGCCCTGGCAGTCAAGTTTGGAGCTGAGGGTGTGATCCTGCCACATACCACATGGTGTGGGCAGGTTAGGCTCCGGCATCCTCCACAGAACTCTGGTTCTTCTTACTCAGGATGGCTGTGAGGAGGGAGATGCTAAGACAGTCTGAGGATTGTCCCTCTTGCCCTTAGCTCTGGGTCCAAGAATATGTGTATCATTTCTTACTTACTGATACGTTTCACTGTACTTTCTTCCAAAAAGGATTTGTGAGAGCTTATGTAAGCATACCCGGATATTAAACTAAACCAAAACATTACACACCATTTGGAATGGATTTTTCCTAAATTGGACAACTACATTTTCCTAGAGTTATTTGGAAGCTTCTATTGTTCAATAAAATAAAGCATTTCAGTACTTTAGAAGATTTTTCTTGGGACCAGAGTGTAGAACAAATTGATGTTTAAGTAGAAGGGGGTGGCTGGTGTGGATCCTGGGACCTGAGCAAGGAAGGAAAATTTTAGTGATCTGTGTGTGGGATGGGCAGAGGAAAAAATCTCTATTGCCTTACCATGAGAAATGAACTCTGAAGCCCCTGACACCATGCCTCAGAGTGCTGCTAATAACTTGAGCTACTCAGTATAAGTCAAGTTTCCATGGTTGATCTTGGGGCAGAGTTGGGGGCAGAGGTGGAGAACCAGGAAAAGATATGATCCACCCTCAAATTGCTGAGAGCTATTTCAATGAGGTAAGCTCAGAGCACAGTATTGCAAACCATACAGAGACCCATGAATGATAAAATTTGAGACCCACTTTCTCTTTGTTCCAAGTTCTAGGGTAGAGCGCTGGGGTGGGGCAGAAGGGCCTTGTCACACATCAGGTCACTGAGGGTGGAGGAGGTAGGAGGGGCTCCAATCGAGGTGAATCTGGAGGAATGCTTAGAACATAAATCTCTGTCTCCCTTCTATTACTCCCTCTTGGTTTAAAGAGGAAAGAAGGAAACTTCTCTACACACTGTCTTTGGTACAGGGAGAAGTAGGGTTCAAGTTGAATAGGTGGTAGAATTTTGGCTGGGAGGTTATAATTCAAGAGCACAGAGATAGAACTTAGGGGCCCAGGAGCCCTGGGCTGGAGGCTGGAGACTGGAGAAGATGGTAGCACAAGCAGAGTGCTAGAATAAGGGTGGCTGGGACCTAGGTACTAATAGGCTTGGACTTTTGATAGATCAACATCTATTTATATAAGCCTGCCTGGCAACCACAGAGTAAATTTAAAGAAAGTGGGAGAATAATCAATGAAAATGAATGAATCAATTAAAAAGCTGAAAAAGAATAGAACTGATAAATAAATCTAAAGGCTGGATATTTGTAATTGAACCCAACAAAATAGCCATATTTCTGGCAAGTTTGATCAACGAAAAAAAATGAGAAAGAACACAGAGGGAATTAAAAAATATGTGAGGATATTATATTCAATTATGAGTACTAAATGTAAAAATTCTTAATGAAATGGATCATTTAAAAGGAAACTTTAAAGTACCAACTTTGAATTAAAGTGATAATATTTAAAACAATTTTAAAGAATTACTAACCCAAAAGGCACTCTGACTAGTTTTATTGTAGAGTTTCTTCATATATTTAAGGAATGGATAATTCCCAGGGCATAAAACAGGACAGATGTTTCAAATTACACCATGAAGCTAGTATAACCTGGACACCAGAACCTGACAAGGAGAGCACAAAAAAGACTACAAACCTATCTTTCTTAGGACTAGATACACCAAAATCCTAAGTAAAACATTGACCAATGAAATCTAGCATGATATTAAAAGAATATACTGTGACCAAGTGTAATGTATTTCAATGGCTATTAGGAAATCTATAATTAATCATATCCCAAATCAAAGGCAGTCAAAGAGAAAAACCATTTGATTCTCTTGCTAGATACTAGAAGGGCCTCTGAAAAAAGTCCAAAATCTATTTCTTGGGGAAAATCTCTCAATAAAACAGGAACAGAATGATATTTTCTTCCAACAATGAAGAATATCTCTATAAAAAGAAGAAACAGCACCATTCTTTTTTAAATGGTGAAACATTTGAGAAAAAAGAAGAGGCAATAGCAGACTGTCAATGTTATTCTGTTATGCTTCCAGTGTCAATGGAAGGCAAGAAATGAGAGGTATAAATATTAAAAATTATGGAAAAAAAGATATGTGGATATCCTCTAGATAACCAAAAAAAGTGGTAGGATTAATAAGCAAGAACAATAAAGAGGCCAGTGTCAAAATACACAAAATTAAAAGCTTACTTATATACCAACAATGACGAGACATAAAATATGTATAATGGAACTCAATGAAGAAAACAATATAACCTCACTGACAATATTGAAAAAAAAATTGGAGAGAGACACATTTTGGGGTAGGAAGACTTAACTATTGTTAAGAAAATAAACTGCTCCAAATTAAGCCATATGTTTAATTCCAATTAAAATCAACTGGTAAAGTCTTGACAAAACAATTACAAATTTTTCTGGAAAAAAGATGCAAGAACAGCTGAGGAAATTTTGCAAAAAAGCGAGATGACTGTCATTTTGCTATACCAGATATTGCAAAGTATTATAACAGCAAAGATTTCGAAGTATGGAAGTGAGGGGTGAGGGAAGAGCTGAGGGAGTTCTCATCTAGGTCTGGCACCACATGAATGATCTTGATGGACTTTACAAAGCTCTTTCAATTCAATGTTGTGCAGCCAAAGTTCACTAAATGCCTGCCCTGTGTCAGGCATCATGCTCATGGCAATGGATAGGACGTCAGTCCTCACCCTCACGGAGCTTTCTGTGATTCAACAATTAACTGCAAGTGTGATGACCACTTCCAAAGGGAGATTTGGCAGCATGTGGATGGCGGCGCATAGAAAATTATTAGAATAGAGAGCAGGTTATACTTCACATAGGAAATATTTAACTTCCTGATGCCTCTGGGGCCTGTCCTTTTATAGGTGGTTGATTTTCCAGTGAAATGGAAACTTAGGGGATAGGGGTAGCCTCCAAACTGGTGGTTTGTTAAGTGATCTCCTTAGAAGAATGGCCAGTGGCCAGCACAAGCATTGAAGACTGGCCCTGCCTCAGCCCTGACTTTTCACATGCAGGCATGCACCTGAATCATGTGGGGGCCTTGGCAAAACATGATGCTGGGCCACCCCACAGTGTAGTGCCTGATTCTGAAGGTCTGGGATGGGGCTGGAGGATTTGAACCTACCTAACACATTCTAGGTAAAGACCCCTAGTCAGCCCTAACTGGTAACTCTCAGACCAATTCAGGGCTAAGTTTGAAATGAAGTGCATGGCAGTGTTCTAGATCAAAATGAAACCCAACTGAAAGTCAAAGGTGTGGAATGAATCATTCACTACAATTTATGAGTAGGGGAGGGGCTTTAGGATGGCTGACTAGAGGTATCTGGTACTTGCTTCCTTCACAAAAAAATAGTAGAAGTAGATAATCACACTTCAAATAGATCATCTAAGAGAGAGAACTGGGACTCAAGAGAGATGTGACAGGAAATACTTAAGGCAAGGAAGGAGAAAAAAGTGAGACAGCCTGTTCCCTGGGGATTAGCTAGGAGCCTGGAGAGCTCCCCAATATGGGGAAAGGATGGGACCCCAGCAGTCCACATCCCTGCCATGGACTCCTGCAATTCTGCCACAGGAAAGTCCCTCAATCCTTACTGGCCCTGAGACAAATAGAGGTTGCCATCTACAGACTGTGCAGTGGCATTGCTCTTGAGAGGGAGCTCACACAGGACCTTCCGCATGCTGAGTCATAAGAAGCTGCAAGGTGCCATTTAGAGAGCCCAGAGCCCAGTCTTCAGCAGACAGCATCTGCCCTGGGGCCCAATAGCCCTTGCACCTCCACCTTTGTGGAGCTGCATTGACGTCCCCTGCTGTGGTCACCATCGTTGCTGGCTGCTGCTGCGAGAGTCAAAGCACAAGCCACTGGTAGCAAACCCCTGTCCCCAGCATCAGACCCATTGTGCATTTATAAGCACCTTGAGGACAGGTTGCCCAGTCCACAGCAGACACCTAGGCCCAAAGAGTGTGCTCTCCATTTGTCTGCCTGTGGTTGCTGCCCTGAAAGCAACCCTGCCATCTTTAGCAACGAACTACACTACAGCCACTGACACCCATATCCAAGTATTCTGACAGGGGGATGGGAATCACAGCTAGCATCTGCATATACCAATACAGAGCCTGAAGACAGGTTTTCTTGGCTCAGTCTTTCTTTCCAGTGCCTGAGGATGCCATCAGAGACCTGGGAATTGCACTTCTTTACCCACTACTACTGGCACTTGAGCACTCCTCTGGGGGGCCCTGAGGATGGAGCCACCCAACCTACTGCTAATACCATAGCTGGCATGCACTACCTGCAGGCCTGGAGACTCGTCTGCCCATGGTGACCACCAACACCAGT